CAGATCCGCAGGGATATTTATCATGGTACGATCAACTATGATCCAGACCCGCAGCTCGAATTTTTTACGGCGGTAGGCAAATAACGGAAGTATCAATCATCGTAGAACCGCAGACGAGAAAGTGGATCTTGTCTTTGTTCTTGCTCGGGCTGCCGCGATTTTTATCTGGCCTCGTATTGGTTCTTGCGACACCGATGATTTATTGGAACGTTTCCGGGCTTAATTGAAAGATCTCGTCTAGCCTTCTGTCAGGGTCGATTCGCGTACACAAATAACATCGAGGTTTCCGGGGAGATAATAGAAAACACGGATCGGGGAATGCACGACGAAGCTGCAATTAGAGAGGCCAATGCAAAAGATAAGAGTGGAACCGCGTACCGAGAAAAGCACGGAGAAAAATGATAACGTCATTCTGCACGTGTCTCTTCCTCTATTGCCTATTACGGTCGTGATAATCAGTAGATAAATTACGCGTTCCCTGGAAATTGAATTCGAACGAAGCGAAATTAAGATTACAAGTCTGGAAAAAAAAGGAGCGAAGTTAATATCACCGTTTCGCAGGTTATTCTTCCTGTAATAATACTCATTGCGGGATAATCAGTAGATCGGGGGGAATTTTTTTTCGAAATATAATTCAATCCCAAGGCGGTCCGGAAGGGGATCACGGAATTATAGTGAAAAATGCCTGTGTTTAGCGCGTATGAATCTAATCCCGTGAAAAACGCCTTCCGTTCGTTAAATTATCGCGCACGCCGCTTCCGGTCTCCGAGATAGCGTGAACCCGAGAACGGGATACGGGTCCTGGGATCATAGATTCCGTGAATAAACCAGAAACTAATGAATATTAAGCCCCGTACACACGTTCGAGCACGTTACGGTGCATCGACTTTCGCGCAAACCTGCCTGAGAAACTCTTGTCGTTTGTAAATGGAATACTGTATTTATAATTAATTGACGCGCGATGAAACTTGTTAAGGCTAATTTTACAAGGTGTTAATATTTAACTTAAATGGATCGAGAATTACAAATTTCGAAACGTAGAAGTTCGAATATTTGACGATTTGAAACTTTGAACGTTTGGAAATTCGAAGTTTCATCGCGATGTCTTTGAACTTGTGCAGGGTACTTTAGAAAAGCGTGGACGTGAAAGGCCCGGAAACCACGTGCACGCGTTCACGTGCTTGTAAATGCACGTGCAACTCGCGACGGGCCGCCAGCCCGCGAAACGACAGGAAGTTCGAGGCAGTTGGCACTCGTAACTCCCGCGGCACCCGTGTCAAATTGGCGTTCATTATGTTTTACGGCGGCGCAAAACACGGAGGCGTCGCGGACAGCGAACTCTGTGGAAAATTGTCGTGTACAATCGTCCTGTACAATCACGGCCTGCCCGATTTGTCTGCCAGTTGTCGGACGCCTGGCATTTTTACCGGGCAACTCGTAAACATTCAAACCGAAGCGTACCAAATTCCATTCAACTGAGATACAACGAACAGATATTCGTCGATTCTTATCTCCCTATTTAGATACGAAGAAAAACTATGGTTAAACATAATTTCCATTGTACAAACAGATCCCAAAAATCTGCATTCAATTAACCAGGCTTCAAGAAACCTCTACATAAAATCCAAAGAATGCAAAACTTAATATGTTCACATCATCAGTAACTTACAATCAATATTCCACGCTTAAAATTCTAGACTAAATTCTTTCCATAATTCATCTTATCGATCTCCCATCGACACCTTTCACAAAAATCCATGTTCACATCATCAGTAATTAACAACCAATATTCCACACTTAAAATTCTATACTAAATTCTTTCCACAATTCATTTTGTCGATCTCCCATCGACGCCTTTCACGAAAATCCCCTCCGAAATTTCGTCGCGAGATAAATCAGCGTCGAAAGGGGGTTAAAGGAGCGAGCGCGATGAACGCGCGAACACCTAGCACCACAGGTTATTAATAAACGATCGAGCGGGCGATTTAAAACGCGCGCGAGTCCCGTGAGATACGACCGACGGAAATAACCGGGTAGTACGGCACAATGCGATGAAGCTTTGGGGAATATTTTATTGCCGGTCACGCGAGAACCGACGTAATTCACACTTTAACCGTCGAACCGATAAATTTCCTGTTCGTGATCGCGCCGCGCGGCTCTTCCCGTGGGACCCCGTGGCATTCCACGGAGAACCGAGTAAACGAGTAAATTTGTAGGTAGAATCGGCGCCTCTTCGAACCGATCGAATCCCATAAGTCACGTCCGGAGTACAGTGTTTAACCTGCGAGCCTTATCTCCGATCATTATCCTCGTTCGAGCCCGGTGTGCATTGACCTTAAATGTTTCGCGGCCCTACAATGGAAATCCGCGGATACGCAACGATCTCCGACGAGATCTTGCTCCGATCCGGAGAAACGAACCTCCCGTACGTTTGTTCCTTAGACTTTCGCTACCTTCGCCTAATGTATTCACCGTAGCAGGATTTCCCTGTTACAGAATGCAACCGCGATGCACTAGATTAGCCAACAAATCATTTCATCCCATTACTTCCCGAGAAAAACGAACATCCACGTTCCTCTTTGAAATATGCAGATTACATCGTTTTAATCGACTTAATTACAGTTTTCTATTTTCCGGTGGATCTCTGACACTTTCGTAATGCCGTTAAGAAGTAGCGTATAAAATGAGATGAGGAACACTGTTTCCACGCGGACCTAATGTTATTATAAAACAGCTTATCGATGGAATTACGTTAGTATGTTTTATAGCGGACGACATTAAGGAAATTAGAAACTCTCTATTACTAAATCTTTTGATCGCGGCGCGCCGCGGTTTCATAATGTTATCCGAGAGGTTCCGAGGGCTTGAATGAACGCGGGTAATGCGATCAACCTTGTTCGTTCTGAACGTTAAACATTCATCTCCGTGAGAGTTCCAAGGACCACCAAAGAAAATGCTCGCGGCGAGGCGACCGGCCGCTTTCGAAAAATCGATGTCGTAAAGGGGAACATTAATTACGGGACGATATTATCCGCGTTAACTCCGGTAATCGAGACTGTCTCGGGAAACGGGGCTCAAAAAACCGGCTAGGATATTGGAAACGGTATCGGGCATCGTTCCGCGACACGGCCGAGCAATTTTCTAGCTCGCCGTTCGTTCCACGAGCGACATTTAATTCCCGTGATCGGCCGATCGACGGCCGCGCGCCGGCGATACGATTTAGCGCGCGTCATCCGCGGTAACCAAGGACCGCGACCGACTGGAAATTAATAACCGTTCGGCCGAAGAAGCGGTATCTAGCGCGCGCTCTCGATATCTGTTAAAGGCCGTCACCCAGTTAACGCACCGACTGCCACGGTGGTCACCGGTCGCCGGAAGTTTCGAATTGCTCGGGAACAATTGCAATAAGAAAACCGACGACGCTTGGAGATTGGAGATATTCAGTGACATAAGTAGATAGATAACAGTACATCTCGGGAACTATGATATCAAGCGATTAACCCTTTGCACTCGGAATACTTAACATTTTATAACTAGACAGAGATATTTTTGGAAATTAACTCAGAGAGAAATCATAAGTAAATTGAGAAACAAAGCTTTTTTGTCACAATATTTCACGCACTGATGGATTGTATATGGTTCAATATTAAATATCGAATTTTATAATTTTACTTCATCAACTCAAAGGGAAATCATAAGTAAATTGAGAAACAAAGCTTTCTCATCTCAATATTTCACGCATCGATGCATTATGCATGGTTCAATATTAAATATCAAATTTTATAATTTTACTTCACCAAATCAGGTCGTGACAGAGTCATCTCTCGAGCGCGAGGGGTAATCATTCATTAATCAATATTATGTGTCCTTGTTATAAGAGAATAAGTAATATACAAAACACTCAAATTCTCGAGGCAGTCAACGTGTTAACACGTTGCCACGTGTACCACATACTATCAAATCTCCAGTTTCCACAATCTAAATAAACGAGCATCAATTCTTTTAGGAATAATAGAACGAATTGTACAATAAATATCCGTAAACCTAGTATTAATATACTGTTAACGATAGAGTAACTCTGTTCGTCGAGCTGCGAAAGAATTGATAGGTCAAGGGGTTAAGTGGGTGACAACCGGAATTCATACGGGAAATCCGTAACCGGTGAACGCGCGACTTGAAACGCGGCGGGGCAGCAGTCGGGGCCCGGATCGCGCAAGGCCGACAGCAAAAAGTGGTAGCGGCCAGTTTTGTCAGCCACGCTTCGATTGGCGAGGTTGACGTTAAACAGCTGCCGGCAAGATGAACGATAGTGACAATTCTAATTAAGCCCGGGCACCGATTGAGAGAGAGCTGGATCTTATTAATTACCGGCCGGGATCACGTCGGCACGCGCCTCTCGGTGTCCCTGCACGTCTTAAACGCGCCGCGACGCATTCTGATATCGAATGTCGATGGCGACACCGATACCTCTGCCCGCGGAATTTTCTGCTTGCCGAGTTAGGGGATCCGAGAATGTTCGGGAGTTGGAGGGTTTCGAAGTTGTAGCGAGGGGATTCCTCGGGATTCTAGCTAGAGGATCTTCGAGTTTGAGGATCCTTGAGATTCCAAAGTTCTGTTAAGAAAGAAAGTAAAAATGGAACATTGAATATTTGAGTGTTCTTTAGTTTCGTAGTCGTAGGATCTTTGAGTTTAAGGATCCTGGAGATTCCAAAGTTCTCTTGAGAAAGAAAATAAAAATGGAATATTGAATATTTGACTGTTGGTGTTGTTTAGTTTCGTAGTCGTAGGATTTTCGAGTTTCAAGATCTTGGAGATTCTAAAGGCTTATCTAAGAGAGGAACTTTAACTTTCTAATATACACTCCTGAGGTTGACGTATGCCTAGGATTCCAGAGTGTTGGAAGTAACTTTAAACGGTTATATTAGATAATGTACTTCCAGTTCTATTGAGAAAATAATTAAATATCTCCTATCATGCTGACGAAAACTTGATCGTTCCAGGAGACCTGAAGAGGCGACACTCCTGGAGCAGCGAGGCCGACCACCATCCAGCGGAGACGGAAGCCGCGGCTACGCCGGGCGTGGATCCCGTGGTCCCCTCCTCCGACGAAGAGGACAGAGTCTCGTACAAGGTACAATCGAAAAGAATCCTTCATTAACCTTTTACTCCTACGTCGGCATTCAATTTCATCCTTAACTCTTTAACGAAGAAAATTCGAAGTGTTGATCGCATCTTCGATCCATGCGTTGATTAATTAGTAGCTTCCATGTTCCCTAAAACTTTAAAATCTGATATTTAATGTTGAAGTTCGTATAATACCTCGATACGTGCAATATTGGAATAAAGTAGCTTTGTTCCTCAATGTACTTGTGATTTCCCTTCGAGTTAGTTACGAAGAATATCGTCTTTGTCTCGTAAAATATTGCTAAATATTTCCAGTGAGAAACTTCCGAGTGCAAAGGGTTAAAAGAAACACCAATCTTCGAAATATAATTAGGTAAACTGTAAAGCTCGGAACGAGAAGATATAGATAAACATTGATCGTTCATAAAGTAAATAATTTTCGTCTCGCTATATTCCAATTTCTGATTAATCGATGACTTTAAGTCAGTCCTAAATTCAAGAGAAACTATCTCTTTCTCTCGTGCCAATTAATCAACGCTAAACCGATTTGAACAAGAACAACCGGCAAAAAAGGAATGGCGAGGGGTTAAAGCACCGACGCTGCGGCGGCCATTTTTTCGGGCACGAGGAACGAAAGTACCGTGTTACGAGTGCTCGAGGATGCGCGAAGAGGGATGCATTGTCCCTGGAGCCTATCCGGTGCAACGCCGCCGCGATTTCTGCAGTTGCAGTTGTCGTTAAAACACGCCGCTCGAGGTTTTACGGTCTCTCCGTTGTCTGGCCGCAGTAGTAAAAGGAAATGCACCGTTGCGCCGCGGCCGTTACGCATCGGCCGTCTTCGTGCAATGATCCCCTCGCACATATAAAACGTAATTTTGGTTAAACGCCCAGCGCACTTCTCGGCCCTCTCCTGGACCGCTCGTCCCCGGTTAGGTTCCCACCATTTTCATGGGAAAAGTGCATGCCCCCATGAGCCGCGGCCGGTTTTTTGCCTCGGAACCCTCCACGGATCCTTTTTTCTTCAACGTCCGATCCGCTTATGGAATCATCCCACGTATCCCGCAGCCTCTTTTCGTCTACGACTCCGGAGGGAACAGACTTAACCCTTAGCACTCCAGGTTGTTTTGCAATCTATCAGCAACTGCAACTAATTTTTATAGTATTCCTAGCGAAAATGAGAAATGCTATATTTCTTCAATCTTTTATTTTCCTCTTCAATGCAAAATTTGGATGTGTGAAAATCGAATAATTTTAGGGTAGTTTCTTTGAGATTCATTAGAATATTTAATATTATAACTGGTGCAATATTGGAGCCCACAGAGTTCAAAGGGTGAAACCCTTTCCACTGATTTTAAAAAATTCACTGAAAACTAATGCGAATCTACTTTAATGATACTGCGTTTTGCCTCTGCTGTATAATAGATAATTATAATTATACAGATGTCCAAGTTTCTAATCTTCGATCAACTATTAACCGACTCGATTCTACAAAATATAGTTCGATGCTCCCCGTCTCCCAAAATGCGACAAGTAAAAGGTACTTACCTCGAACTCACCGCAACGTCAACTTCTTCAAACCAACGACGGTCGTGTTATTATACTTCTTCAGACAAATGATAGCGATAGTTTCTCTCCAATAAAAAACGGTAAACACACCATGGACCATTCCCTGCTTAACGCGCCGGAGAAAGGGTTTAAGCGCAAGTGTTTCGAGCGGAAGTCGAGGGAAGCGTTCGCGTGATTTTTCTCGTGGCGCAAAAAAGTGTTGGAAACGAGTAGCA